AAAAATTGAGATTGGAACTCTGCATGGAGCAATTCTAATGGGTCCTAAAACATGAGTTTAGAATCTCAAAGTTTTTGGATCCCAGCTTTGCCACTTACTGGTGCAGACATATTGTTTAAGCCTCTGTTTCCTCATGTGTAAGACAGGGTTCCATGAGACTTAAATAACATAAGTAAAGTGTGGAACACAATGACTGGCATTCAGTAGACAGTGTATGCCCTTTTCTTTCTCTCTCAGCACAGCTTGTTAGATGGTAAGAAAATAAAGTAACATAGACTAAGAGTTAAAGATGTACAACTTAACACATTAAGCGCCCAGCCTGTTTTGTCTTCAAGAAAGAAAGTATAGTGTCAGTCACCGGTGACTGACTGTGCGCTTAAGGTGTTAATGATCTTGGCAGGAGGGTGGTGGTTCAAGAGCATAGTAGATTATCAGTAACTGACCTTTGTTTTGGCTTGCTCTAACTTATCCTCAACCCAAGATGCCAGAGTACCTCCTTACTCTCCAGATATCTACCCATTCACTCTTATTCTGGATTTCCCCCATCCCCAAGGCCTCGCCTCAAGTTACCCATGGTCTATGTATCACACTTCTGATTTAGGGCCAGGGAGGCAGGAGGTGAGGCAGAACCTGAGACTGGAGTGGCTCTCAGGAGACCCCAGCCTACATGGCTGTTGTACTCCAAAGCCTCTGGAAAAAATCACATTGTTGGAGGTGTCTCCAGGCTGCTCACGGGTGAGTTATCTGTCGGGCATGGTCATCAGGGCTCACATCCACCAGGCTGTGCCCGGGTCGCTCCCTGGCCCTGCTGTACCACTGAGTAAAGAGGACTTCACAGCTATTAGTAGGTTAGAAATGAAACTTTTCAAACAGGTCATTTAGATTTTGTAAGATAGACTAATTACTACACACAATTAGTGAGGCTGAGTAGTGCTAGAGATACTTATCCGGTGATGCAGAGAGTGATAAAGTGCCTACTGAACATTGTTGTAAGACCACTGTAGGGATGTTTAATAATCGATATTTTATTGGTTTTAAAATGTTCTGGTTGGGATGAGTGTCAGCCCTGTTGTGAGGTTAACCGCCCAGCATTTCACACTTGTTTAAAGTCAACACCTGGACACTAGGAATAATGAGCCACATTTTCATAATTTTCAGAGGGAAATGATAATGTCTTTTTTTTTTCTGGGACTAGGGTTGGCACACTGTTCTGAGAGGGCAGACACTCTAGACTCCCTGCCCCAGCAGGAGGGACCCTTGCTTTTCCCCAGGGAAGGAAGTTAGCTCACAACATCCTCCCAAGTCTGTGACGGGAAAACCTATGGGTGCTTAAGTTTGTTTATTCTTACTAAAAGTGCAGCTGAATCAGATCTGTGACCCCTCTGCCTTTGTGTACCAGCGCCGCGAGCTGAACTTAAGTGGGGTTGGCCTGTTGGCTGTCATCCACTTGTTCTACTGTGAACAGATCATTCATAGAAGGACGTTTGCAAAGGGGAGACTTCAGAGCAACAGTTCTAACACTTGGGATGTGTTGCCCTTGTCCTATCGAGGAATGTGTTTTTGTTTAAACACCTAGCACATTCTGTGGCTGCACGAGGGGAAGACAGAGGGGTTTTCTCAAGAGGGTAGCTGGCTCTTCAGTGTGGTGTCTGAGCATCGTTAGAAGCAGGCATCTCGTTAGCTAATACATTACACCAATCAAGGAGCATTATCTTAAGCCACAATTAATCTGCTCCCTGGCATATGTTGATAGGAAAGCATCATGCTGTTTCTTAATTAAAAGCAAACGGATTAAAAATGATTAATAAGAGTATTAAATATTCTCCTAAATGAAAGGCTTTGGGGTTCTTGGCTAAACCTAGTTGTTGTTTTTTCCATACAGAAATCCAAGCAGTAGTCATTGTTTTAGTTTTTCCTACCTCCAGAGCTCCATAAGTGGGGGCACGTTGTGAGGGCCTCGAGCCACGGAGCAAAGTCTAAATTTCCAGCGATGGAGATGTCAGAGTTCAGGGGTGCAGGAGTTAGGACCGTGTCCGGGGAACGCGTCAACACTTCCTTTCCTCCCAAACAAAATGCTTTCCTGCCCCTTAGGCTCCAAGGTGTGTCAGCCTCTATTTCCTCATGTGTAAGATGAGGGGGAAGGTTCGATCAGGTCGCACCATCGTGGCCACACCACCCTGACTAGGAGACCTGATCTTTCTATCAGTGATTACAGAGATGGGCGAAGAGCTAGAAAAGGCACATTGCTGATCCTGGGGCTCCCAGGCCTTCAGCTGTGAAGGACTCTTAGAATTGTTGGAAATGTGGAGTCAATTACACGACATATAATAAATAACCAGTCACATCTGACTTGCCAGCTAAGTTAGAGATGGGCAGTGAGTCTGAAAAGAAACCATTATTTTTAAAGGCACAAAATAGGAAGTTAGAAATCAGGGCTGGTTCTCCCTGCACGTGGCCTCCTGAATGTGTGATGCAGGCACAACTGTGGTAGACCCCAGTTTCCTGAGCCTGAGTCCCTAATGCACCCACCTATTAAATTACAGCACCAAACTCATTGTCATTCTGACTTTGACTTCGTTAGTGATAACAGAGAAGGATAGCGCACCTTTAAATGACGAGCTTTGTGTTTAATTACCCAAACAAAATGACATAAATATGAATGAGCCCTAATGGTGGTACTTGGTTTTCCGGAAACCATTAACAAAACGATTCCTAAATGATTTGTAAAGAAAATGAGAGGAGAAGAGCAGGCTATTAGGTTTCTAACACACTCCTGAATTATTATGTAGTCAACTACCTAGGAAATACTCAGCTAAATGATCTTGAAAAAAAAAGAAGGGTTTGTTGGGTCTCAGGGTTACAGACGTCTTGACCATTTGAAATACGCTCATCGAGAGTAAAAGGGATTTATGACCTGGTGCCTGTCCCCTTGCAGCAGGTCCTTCCTCCGTGCCAGACGCCACAACCAGGCAGCAGCTCCTGGGCCTCAGTTCCTCAGAAAGGACACATGTCATTTTCAACCACAAACAGCCAGCCTTTCCCACTCAGTCGGCACTTTACTAAAAACTGGGCTTCTGACTAGTCTCCTCAGCTTTTGTGGACTCGGTAGAGACCTAGAGTGACAGGCCAGCGCCAGAATGTGGGCACTGATGCCCCTAGAGCAGTGGTTCTCAACCTTCCTAATGCCGCGACCCTTTAATACAGTTCCTCATGTTGTGGTGACCTCCAACCATGAAATTATTTTCGTTGCTACTTCATAACTAATTTTGCTGCTGTTATGAATCGTAATGTAAATATCTGATATGCAGGATGTATTTAGGCGACCCCTGTGAAAGGGTCATTCGACCCCCAAAGGGGTCGCGACCCACAGGTTGAGAACCACTGCCGTAGAGGGACCCTGTGGATGCTCCCAATCTCCATCTGTGTCCAGAGAAGGAAGGGGAGGTGAGGACAGCGCCTGTCTCGAGGCCTGGTGTCTCCTTATTCTACAATGTCAACAGTGACAGAGAATCCATTCTCCAAGTATCGAACAATTAGGGGGTCCGGCCTGGCCCTGGTGTTTGACCGGGTTCATCTGTTTACAGGCCTACATTTGGGACAACAACAAGGACCTGGTCGAGTGGCTGGAGAAACAGCTGACAGAGGAGGACGGCGTTCGCTCAGTAATAGAGGAAAACATCAAATACATCAACAGAGACTATGTTCTCAAGCAGATCCGCAGGTGAGCCGCAGTGGGGGGCTCCTCTAGAAGTGGGGCTCACCTCTTAGAATAAAAGATTTAAGAACAAATCTGGAGATGGTGACGCCTACAATCTTTGTGGCCTCTCTCTGCCAGAGACCGCTGTAGTGACCCACAGATAAGACAGCTCTCTAGCACGGTCCCTCCTCAGCTAGCTGCAGACTTAGTTCATTGTGCCCGGAGGCAGGTGCTCCAACTGGGTGAATGATTCTGGGAGGAAAGTGATGGCACGCAGTTTCCTGGGGAGCCGCCGCCTCTCTCCTCCTGCAGGCTTCTCCATCGCAGGGGGTAGAGGGTAGAGACTGCGGGAACATCTTTTAAAGTGTTTTATTTGGAAGCATTTTACTTACAGAAAAGTTTAAAACTAAAAACAGTGCAAAGAACAAATCTGTGCCCAGATGCGCTGTTTACATTTTACCCCATTGGCTGTATCGCTGGTGAGGGTGCCTGCTCTCCTGTCTAATCCATACGTAGAGCTGCTCGTTCTCGGCTGTTCCCTGATTAGACTCAGATCGTATGTGCTCAGCCAGAACAGCACGTATGTGGGGAGGTGGCCTTCACGGGGCCCACATCTGGAGCCGCATGATGCCATCTGCCCCTCGTGTTTGTTTCGACCATCCGGTCACGATGTTACTCAGTTTCTCCACTTTTTAGCACTGATTTTCCCCTTGTACCTAATGAGCAGTCTGTGGGGAGACACTTCAAGGCTATGCAAACGTCCTGTACTCATCAGAAATTTCACCTGGATTTAGCCTCCGTGGATGCTTCTTGCTTGATCCAGTCTTTACTGTGAGGTTTCAAAGTAACCTTCCAACTCCATCAGGACCTCCTCAATCCCAGCCACCACTCCAATTCTGCTACAAGCAGAAGTCCTCTCTCCTCCTCATTCATTATATATTCACTATTGGTTACACGAATGGATTTCTATTTTTCAGTAGTTTTTAATTCGTTCTTACTTTAATGTCCCAGATTTAGCCAGTGGGCAGACCTTCGTGCTAACTCCAGGCCAGGCCCCATTGGTGTTGGTTTGTTGAAGCGCTTCCTTACCGTTTGCCATGGTGAAATGTTTCCGGTTTATCTCGCTACCTCCCTTGCTGCTGGGGACATTTTCCATGTAGGAAACGGCAGGTGCTGACGAGCGTCAGCAGTGAGCTCTGCTAGCTCGTTTGCGGGTGGTTTGTCACTGCCCTGATCTAGACGCTGCTGCCTCTCTCTTCTTCATCTCCCAAATCTTCCTCTCCAGCTTGGTCCAGGCAAATCCAGAGGTCGCCATGGATTCCATTGTCCACATGACCCAGCACATCTCACCCACTCAGCGAGCAGAAGTCGTCCGGATCCTGTCCACGATGGACTCCCCTTCGACGTAGAGAGAGCTTCCGCCCTCGCCCTGCCTCCAGAGAAAAGGGCTAGACTAGAGCTGCCTTTTACTACGGAAACCACTGTAACGAGAAGGCACGGGAGACCCAGCACTGGAATCAAACTGGCGTTTTGCTTCCCCTCGAATGTTTCAGGTTCTGTGTGGCACACGGGGACACAGGGTCACAGAGCCATGCTCCAGCCCCCGTCACACTGTCCCGTTCAGTATTTATTACCCTGCACACACCCAAGAAGGCAGTGAAGGGTACACACGTACCATGAGGTCTTCCTACACAGAAGCAGGGCTGCCCCTTGGTCTCAGCCCCGGGAGCCTGCACCCCAGGTAGCAGGGGAGGGCTGGGGCGAGGAAGAAGCCTCACGTACGTTATTTCTTTACCCCCACGTTCAGCCCAGCACACACTAGCACTGGAGAGGAATCATTCCAGCCTCATCACACCAAGGTCCTGTTTGTGAAGGAAAATAGAGCATGAAATCGGCAAGCTCCATGGGAACTCAAAGATGAAGGCAAACCATGATCCAAAGAGCAGAGAAAGAAAACAGACCTAGTCACTGTTGTGGATTAGAGGCCTCAACGTCGAGGTCAGTTCTCTTAGAGCAAATGGAGAGATGGGGACCTACCACTCCCTGCAGGTCACTGCCCAACAGGCCAGTGCGGGGAAGGCCGCCCTCTGTCACTCATGGGAAGTAGTCTCTCATTTTAGGACTTGGGAGGTTGTCACTGTTAAGCCTGGAGCGATGGTAGTCACAGAGGTTAGTAGTGCCTACAGAGTCGCTGTCTCCATTTCCAGGGCAACAGGTCTCCCCACCGCTGCTGACAGGACCCCTGCGGACACCTATGCTCTCGGCACCAGGACCCCAGAATCCACATGACCTTGAGATTACCTACGACTCCCTCTTGGTGCTGCTGTCTTCCAGGCTCACGGGGCCCTACGCGCAAGGGCCCCTCACGGGTGGTGGAGAACGCTTGTTTTTGTCAACAACCAGTTTATTCAAGGAGAGAGCTTACTGATTCCCCCGTTGGTATTCCTAAAGCAAGAGTGGCAGGTGATCAGGCTGGTGTAGCATCCGTTCCTACAGAGCAGCTAATTGCATTTGTCACTGGTGACCAAGGAGGAAATCACTGGGACGTCTTAGAAGCACTGATATGAATACTTGTGTACAACCTCCAGATTTGAGCCTTAACCCTGTAGTTCACAAGAAAGAGCTCCACTTCCCCTCCTTTGGGAACAGTTTATGCAGATGGAACTGTGTGGCTGGGTCTGTCACCACCCTCCCTCTCCCCCCAGGAGCATGGGGCCTCAGCCAGGCTGCCCTGGTACAGGTACAGTGTTTGGCACTACCAGAGAAGGGTGGGAAAAGGTAGGGAATAACACTCAGTCCAGGAGGCAGCATCCACTGTTGCTAGTATCTGCTAACCCAGTAAGAATTGACTTCATCTCTGACCATATTATTCCTCTCCACTTTCCTGCAATAAATAAAGTGATATGCACCGACAGCTGGTGTGAAGCCTGCTCTCCACGGGCCTGTGCTCGCCCGGCATTTCTTCAGAGGCAGAGTGGGTTACTCTCATGTGCCTCTCCCCTCTGCAAATTATGACACATTAAACGAATCCATTTCCTCTCTAGACCCCTGTAATGCCTACTGCTCCATCTCCAGAGCACCTCACTTTAGGTCTTACCCTGGACAGGGATTTTTCATATGGAGAAGACAGAAGAGCCACAGAGTGTGAGCCAGCTGACATCCCACAGCCCCCTGCACAAGCAAGGTCGCTGAGGCAGGCGGGTAGCAAAGTACGGACCAGGACGTGCTGGACTGAGACTGCCTCATGGTCCCACCACCTCGTTCACAGAGCAGCCTTCACTTGTCTCATTGGAAGTTCGATGGACACACTCTGATGAGCAAGGAGCTTCAGTCAAATCTTTTCACATTTTGTGGAAATAAACCTCCAATTTGTAGAAGAGTCACTGTTTGTCATTTCAGCCCATACCCCGCCTCTCAATCTTGCTCCACACAGAGCAGGGGAGCCTCCCGCCCCGGTGGCTGAGCCCCGCTCGTCATGCCGAAAGACCCTCGAGGCTGGAAACCCATGAGTGTGTGCCTTCAGCCCTCTGCCCCGGTTCCTCTCTCTGATTCCATGCGGTTGAAGCGAGAACAGACACCAAACCCTAAACTTGTGCAAAAACAGGTAGAGGTCACAAGAGAGCAGGAGGGGAAGCACTGACCTCTGCCGACTGTTAAACTCGGTGCTGTGTCTGTGTCCTTGGGACGTATAACTAAGCAAAGGGTGGCTTTCTCTAAGTGACATAAATGTTACACCCACATAGCACCGGGTGGAGTCGCCCTAAGCGAGGTGCCTAGAAATGGGAGGAAGAAGGGAGGTTCAGGGTCTGGGAGAATCTGCTTCTCCGAGCCTTCAGCTGCTGCACTCCATGGGCAGGCAGCCCTGGTCAGCATCGAGGCCTCGGACTTCCCTCCTTCTGTTGGGGAGTGATATTTCCTTCAGTCTTTTCAATAAAAGAAAAATTTTAATTTCCATTGATACTACTTTGGGGTAATAAGATTGAACAGTGAGGGTTGTGTAATCTAATCATGGATCCACCTGGATTTCCCCAACTGGGAAACGAACACAGTGACAAACGCAAGTGCCAAATGATGTCACAGGGAGGACCCTTCCTGCACTTTTTCTGATATGCAAGGCTCAGTGCCAGGCTGTGGTGAGAGCCCTGGAGGGGCACTGGGCTGGGAGGATGCCTTCCCTTAAACACTGGCTCCTCCTCTGGGTAAAACCTGGGCTGCCCTGGTCCATGGTGAGGCCGTGTGTGTGGTGCACGAGGGCTGAAGCCTGCAGGCAGAGAGGCTTCCAGTTGGGAGAGAAGTCAGGATGTCCCAATTCAGGGCACCAACATTTGCAAAGTTATTCAAGAGACCCTAGATAGAAGCACAGCATCATTTAGGGGGAGGATGGATGATGGAACCTGACAAAGCAAGTAGGCAGCATTGGGAAGATCTTTAAGTGCTGAGCCAAAGAAGGGGTATGTCCTGGAGAGAGTGGGACACCTTTGATGGTTTGGGGACATGGGGTATAAAGATTTAGAAAAAAGAAAAGATTTAGAAAGCAGCCTAATTGATGAAAGGAGCACAGCCGTAGGTGCCAAGCTCAGCTCCAGGAGCGTACGTCCCCCAGCTGGAGGGGTCACCCAGATAGTGAGCCCAGGCCACCCAAGAGGCACAGGTACAATGGGTGACTCTCCACTATTTTCAGTACTCCAGAAACCTGCGTGTGCCTCAGGCAGCACAGGCTCCCCATGCCGGTTTGTCTTTCCGATGACTAAGTGTTTTAACAACCCAGGAAGTAGTCCTGGCTATCACATGCCGGCCAGAGCTCCAGTGGGCAGTTCATAATAAAGAATGGGAATGGGACATCTTCATAAATGCAGAATGTGGGCAAGCAAAACCTTCCAAAACATCAGTGGGTGGAAGGGCAGAATGATAATGGAACCTCAGCTCTGAGGGGACTTGAGTCCACCCAGAGGGCTCAGCCCCTTAGCAACTAGAAGGAAATGAGATAGACTAGCTCAGAGGGGGTTGAATGATGAGCCTAATCCCAACATTGTGATTCTGTGACTTGCCTTCTGGAGTTAGAGTTAGCAGGAAGGATTGGGAGTGAGGAGAGACAAAGACAACTAAAGACATCCAGACCCTCAATTAAGAAAACGCTGGCAGCACTCTTGGCCGTACTAACAGATTCTTTGATAGCCACTTAGAAGAACTTGGACTCTGGAATAAGCCTGAACTGAGTTCAAATATCCTCACTCCTGCCCTTAGGCAATTTCCTGATCCTAAATCTGTGAAATGTGGATGGCAATAAGGACCTCATTGGGGCTTTTGAACAATTACCTAAATTAGTTCATGTGAACCAATTGGTGGGTATTAGTAACAAATTTTCAAATGTCAGATTTCTCCATACCCTGCCCCTTCCTTATGCTCACAAGAGAAGACACCTGTTATCACTCAACCTTCCTCAGAGGGCATTTTCAGAGAACCATCCCCTTATGAAAGCAGGTCTAGGGACTGTCTCTAGGCGTTGAGCCACATGGGCACTATGCAGAAGTACCAATGAGGAGTGCTATAGTCTGAATATTTGTGCCCCCCACCCAAAAAAATTGGTACGTTGAAATCCTAACTTCAGCAAGTGATGGTATTAAAAGGTGGGGGCTTTGGAAGATGCTTAAGTCCTGAGGGTGGAGCCCTCGTGAATAGGATTAGTGCCTTATAAAAAAAGATCCTGAGAGATCCTTTTCCATCATGTGAGGATACAAGTCTAGGACCTTCACCTGATCGTGCTGGCACCTGGATCTCAGACTTGCAGCCTCCAGAACTATAAGAAATAAATGTTTGTTGTTATAAACTACCCAGTCTGTGGTGTTTTGTTATGGCAGCTCAAGTGGACTAAGACAAAAACTTGGGCCAGGAGTGGGTGCTGCTGTAACTAACCTAAAAATGTGGAAGCAGCTGGGTATAGAGGGAATGTGCCTCAACATAACAAAGGCCATATATGACAAGTCCATAGCTAACATCATACTCAACCGCTGGAAGATGAGGAACAAGACAAGGAAGCTCCTTTATTCAACATACTACTGGAAGTCCTCACCAGACCAATCAGGCAAGAAAAAGAAATAAAAGGCATCCAAATTGGAAAGGAAGTAAAACATTTGTAGATAGCATGATATACATGAAAAACCCTAAAGACTTCACCAAGAAACTTAGAACTAATGAATGAATTTAATAAAGTTTTAGGATACAAAATTAATATAGAAAAGTCAGTTGCATTTATATACACTACTAATGAACTATCAGAAAGAAATTAAGAAAACAAACCCATTTATAATTAGATTAAATAGAATAAAATACCTAGGAATATATTTGACCAAGGAGGTCAAAGATCTGTACACTGAAAATTATAAGATGAAAGAAACTGAAGAAGGCACAAGTAAATGAAAAGATACTTGATGCTCATGGGTTGGAAGAATTAATACTGTTAACATGTCCATACTATTCAAAGCAATCTACAGATTCAATGCAATCTGTATAAAAATTGCATTTTTCACAGAAAGAAAACTATCCTAAAATTAGTATAGAACCACAGAGGACCCTGAATCGCCAAAGCAGTCTTGAAAAAGAACAAGCTGGAGGCATCACACTTACTAATTTCAAACTATATCACAAAGCTATAGTCATCGAAACAGTATGGTATTGGCATAAAAAACAGATGCAAAGATCAATGGAACATAATAGCCCAAAAATAACCCCTTTCATATATGGACAATTAATTTACAACTAAGGAGCCAAGAATATACAATGGGGAAAGGATGGTCTCTCCAATAAATGGTGCTGGGAAAACTGGACAGCCATATGCAATAAAATGAAACTAGACCTGTATCTTACATCATACACAAAAATTCGCTCAAGATGGATTCAAAACTTGAACCTGGAAGTAAGACTTGAAACCATAAAACTCCTAGAAGAAAACATAGGGGCTCAATCAGTCTTGGCAATGATTTTTTGGATTTGACCCCAAAAGCAGAAATAAATAAGTGGGACTACATCAAACTAAAAAGCTTCTGCACAGCAAAGGAAGCAATCAATAAAATGAACGAGAAGGCAGCCTACAGAATGGGAGGAAGTATTTGCAAGTAATATCTTTGATAAAGGGTTAATAGCCAATATATAAAGAACTCATAACCACAGCAAAACAACAACAGACAAACCACGATCTGATTAAAAAAAGAATTGAATAGACATTTTCCCAAAGATAACAAATGGCCATAAAAAGGTAAAGGTATATGAATAGGTGCTCAACATCACTAATTATCAGGGAAATTCATCAAAAGGACAGCCATTCTAACAGGGTAAGTGTTGGTGAAGACATGGAGAAAGGGAAACCCTTGTGCACTGTTGGTGGGAATGTAAATTGGTGCAGCCACTATGGAAAACAGTATGGAGGTTCCTCAAAAACTTTAAAAAAGTACTACCATATGGCCTAACAATCCCACTTCCAGGTAGATCTATGTAAAGGAAATGAAAACAGAATATCAAAGAGATACCTGCATTCCCATGTTCATTGCAGCATTATTCACAAAAGCCAAGATGTGAAAACAACCCGTGTCCATAAACAGATGAGTGGATTAAGAAGATGCGGTATATATACAGAAATGGAATATTTCTCACCATGCGAAACAGGAAATCCTGCTATTTGTGACAACATAGATGGACTTTGAGGGCATTATGCTATGTGAAATGAGCCAGAGAAAGACAAGTACTGTATGCATCTACTCATGTGGAATCTTAAAATAAAAAAGTCATATTCATTGAAACAGAGTAGAAAAGTGGTTGCCAGAGGCTGGAGGTAGGGTGTGGAAGAAGTAGGGAGAGGTTGGTAAAAGAATACAAACTTTCAACTATAAGATGAATAAGATCTGAGGGTTTTAATGTACATCATGGTAACTATCGTTGATAGCACTGTGATATTTAATTGAAATTTGCCCAGAGGATAGAAAAATGTTCTCACCAAACAGAAATAAAAAGATAACTATGTGAGGTGATGGATGTGTTAATGTGAGGGGATCCTTTCACAAAATATATCAAGTCACCATGATGTATACTTTATCTTAAAGTATATGTCATTTATACCTCAATTAAGCTAAACTGATACCAGGAGTGAGGAGCTGTTATAACCCACAAATGTGGAAGCAGCTTTGGGCAGAGGTAATGGGCAGAGGCTGAATGAGTTTGGAGGTCCATGCTAGAAAAAGGCAACATGGCCACAAACAGACCTTTAAAGGCGATTTGGGTGAGGGCTCAGGAGAGCGGTTGTGAACAAAAGATTGGTAGAAACATGGCCAGTGAAGCCCATTCCGAAGAGGTTTCAGATGGAAATGAGGATGTGTGGTTGGAAACTGA